GGCCTCAACCGTGCTTGCCAATCTTATTGGCCGAACGTAACGAGCACGGGGAACTTGACAAGGCCAGCTTTAGGCTTTAAACTGTTGTTTCTTTAAAGAACGAACTTGTTCAAACACTTGGGACGCACAGAACTCTCTCTTTTGCAACTGACCTGCTGCCACATAGCACCAGCCGCACGCTGTTTGCCAGCGGCTTGGTGCCAACTGGCTATTTGACACTGAAGCAGCATGGAACTTCAAAGTGGCAAGATTCGTCACCACCGGCGGCTTCAGGTAGGCACGTAGCAAGGCCTTCACCGAATCCTCATCGAAGTGCGCCATAGCCTTTTGCGCCCTCTGCTCCTCAGAGAGCTTTGCCATCAGAACCTCCAGCGAGCTCACCTTGGTCGCCAGACCGGCAATGCGATCTTGCAAGCTCAGCTGCTCGGCGATTTGGTTGCGCACCACCACCGAGGATTCCCTGGCGTCTTCGATGTAGGACTTGACAGCGGAGCTGGAGTGCCTCCGTGAGGAACATGATGAGCTCTTCCGGCACACCTGCTTTCACCCAGTGCTTCACTCCTGACCTTCTGAGGCTGTGGCCTGAGACCAAACTCAAGTTAGCCAGCATCCTCACACAAGGCTGCAAGCATGGCCTCCTTCTGCGCGACCTTCGTCGGGTCACCCTCTTGTCCGACTAGTGATGCGGCCTCGGAGCCGCGCTGGACTCCCAACATCACTTCTTGACGCACGCGATGCAGTATGGGCACACAACTAACTCCCTGGTGTTGCAGCGGCAGCCAAGCGTACGCTTGCATCCACGAGCGTACTGGTCTGTCTTGGAGACAGTCAGATTTATGGTGACCAGGAAGTTCCACTCATCTAGCTCAACCTCGTTGAACATGATGCAACCCAACTCCACCTCACGAAGGCAGAAGCATGTGCCCAGGATCCACACATACTTTCTCAAGGCCGACCACGCTGCACACGAAGTCTCGGGATGTTCCGGCAGATGCGACCACAACATAGGCTCGATCTCCAGCGCCCTGCAAGGTGGGCCCATGCCCCTTGTAAGGCCCCTTCGGCAGTCGCGCAGCGCCACGTCGAGCGCGTCTGACCAAGCATAGCCCGCCCTCACGTGGCAGTCCTTGGCCTCATAGAGGTAAGTTGGTGCCGATTTGAAGCCTGCAGCCCTTAGAACCGAGCTCACAATGTTGAGCTTGTTGGGGTCGACGGGCAACGGAGCGAGGCCACGGGCGTTCAGGATATCTGTCCAAAGCTTGAACAGCGCACTCTTTGTGCGAGCGGTGCCTGGCGCGTACACCACCTCCTGGAACGTTTCCATGGCAGTCTGCGTGGCTTTGTCCGAGCACGCGATGGCTATGGCATCTGAAGCGCTTCCTCTTCGTCGCTTCTGGCTCGGACCGGCATTGGGAGTAACAGGTGCTCCAGGTCGCCTCCGTTGAGGCTGTGCCGAATTCGCGACGACGACCGGGTCGATCGAGCTCGATGTTTTTTTTTCAGCGGCAACAAAGCTTCTTCAGGTGTGGTCGGGTTGGGATGGCCTCCATCTCCAAGGCTTTCATGCCTCAGCGCTGCTCCCAGCAGCTGTTCCCCACTTCCGCCATTCAGGGTCACGGTCTGGACTCCTCCAGTCGAATTGGCTATGAGAGGTACCTGATTCGGAGGTATGCTCAGGGCCAAAGGTGGGAACCACGTTCCCCTCCCGCGGTCAAAACCACGAGAAAACATCGAGCCCATGACTGTCCAAGCTCGATCTTTGAGCCCATTCGCTCTGATCAACCAGGTTGGAACTTCTCAGATTGATGCTTCGGCGACACGGCGAACGACGCGGCTCCCTAATCGACCCAGGTTACACGCCGTTTAGATTAAAAGGCTCCTCTTAGGTTCGAACGTGCATCAACTCGATCGACACGAGTAAAGTGCATCAACTCGATCAACACGAGTAACAGTGAAAGTGCATCAGCTCAAGCAAAACGACCGAAACGACTAGTTTCCTTAGGCTCCTTTACTCAGGTCTCTTTACTTGCACTCCCTGGCCAACATGAGACGCAGTTTCGCAAGTAAACTCCCTTTTCACTGACGGCTGTCGTCCTCAGTCCGGCTGAGCGTATGGCCATGCTCTGAACATGTGGATGGTGCGTGGAAGCACCTCCACGCGTTTCGCCTGTGTTAAACTGGCGGGCACTTCTCCACGGCTGAGTGAATCAGCTGTGTCATTAAGCACTCCAGCCACGCGTTCGCCACGGGGTGGGATCCATCCATTACATAAAAACTCTAGCAAGAACTCAGCGGTGAGATGAGTGAGGAGGGGAGACTTGGCTTTAAAGGTAAGACATGCGTGGAGCGAGGCACTGTTGTCAGTTCGCAAGAAAATCGCGAAAGGCTGTGGCACCAAAGGCGAGAAAAACTTGAGGCTGAGGAAAATCGTGTACATCTCAAACTCGGTCTGGAAATCCGGAATGCGTTCAGCTCTTAACAGACTCAGATCTGCGTCTGAAATGGCGTCTGCCCAAAACATCAAAGGTTTACCCGCGAAGTAAAGCACAGCACCCATGCCTGTCGGGCAGGCGTCAGTCTCAATTGTAAACCACCGAACCTCCTGCGGCTGCAAACGGTAAGTGTGCCTAGAGTGGGGCCGTTCAGGTTGCAAAGCAAGGCCAGCAGAAACCAAGCGGCGTGTTCCAACTGGCGTCTGAAGACTAGCCCTTTACGCTCACGGGCGCGCTGTCTCTTGGGTCCCTCTTGATGAAGCGCTTGCGTCAACACTGCCCAAAGCATCGCGAGCCATGGCCTCACTTCGGGGATGTTGCTAGAGAGCCAACCCAATACTCCGGTGGCTCTTTGGAGGACCTTTACGGGAACCATGGGCTGATCTAGCAACCCTCGGAGCGCCTCCTTGAGCTTGTCGACCTTGTCTGCAGCGAGCTCAACCTCAAACGTGCGCGGGAGCCCGTGCAGAATGGTGAGCTTGACACCGATCCACTCTAGTTCAAACCCTCTCAGGATTTTGCCCCAGGATAACTTAAATCCCAAGGCCGTCCACAGGAGGCTGCTTCGTAGCATGATCACAGTGCGGTCCATGGGCGTCCGTCCACATGCTACGATGATTGGATCATCTACGCAGCAGGCTATCCTGCATTCCCAATCGTAATGGGTAGCTTGCGCAAGTCTCGTGATGCTATAGCTGCCAACCTGCACCACAAGAGAGGGGCACTAGCGAGCCCGAACGCGCAGACCTTGATGCACACATATCGTCCGCGCATGTCCTTGACAATTAAATAGCCGCTTTCCTCTGGGTGTGCAGGCATTGTGTAAAAGGCGTCTTTAAAATCGATACACAGTAGTTCCAACAAGTATCATCCTCACAGGCCAAGGCTTGAACACTCTTTGCAACATCGCTCACACGAGGCAAGACGACCCTTTCTTTTACGGTCATGAGTCCATTCACGGAACTTCTCCGCATGTCAACTACCAACCGGACTTTCTCCTTGCCGTGTGATTGCTTGATGATGCATGCTATCGGTGTCAGCCGCGCCTCCGGACCAAATTGTTGAACTACCTGCACCATGGGGCCAGGTGGACATGCGTTCAGCCCAACCCTCGTTGATCATTCGATCGACATGCGAATGGCGTCGGACACATCTTGGGTCTGTGGGAAAATGCCAGTGTGAGGGATTGGGTGGATGATACCCAGTGGGAAACCTTCATTCAACCATTGGGGGATCACGGACGCATCTAGATCATGCGACTGCTCTAAAAGTGCTTGCAACACTCCCTTTTCATAGCCGCTGTGCGTGGCTGTTGTTGAAAACTCTGTGGCCAGGGCGTCTCTGACTTTTGCCATGGCTTCTGGTGAAAAAGGTGTCTCCGTAGGGCAGCTTTGAAAGGCACGTAGCGCCTCAGGAGTCAAGGCCGCATCCAGGACTCTTCTCAGCTTGAGTCCTGTGTTGCGAAGGCGCGAATTCCTGGCCACTGAAGCTCTGGGGTTTCTCAATCCTCCGATGGCCCTTTCATTCTCGAACTCCCTCTGCTCCTTCACAGTAGTGAGGAGCTTGGCAGTCTTGTCTTCTCGTTGTTCGGAGGCTTCTGCTTTGACTGGACTCGACGAGGTCGGCCTTTTCAAGTCCGCTCTGATCAGCACATTCTGACGCAACCCCACCTTCTCGAAGGTCTTCCTCTGAAGCAGTCGTTGACCTGGTCCTTCTTGAAGGTGTGTCTTCACGGCGTTGGCCCATGCATGGGAGAGCCCGGATGGATACTCCGCCGCTTTTGAGGTCTTCCAGACCATTCCTTTGGTGACAGGGTCCCAGACCTTGCCGTCCAGCTTGCTGCGCTTGCGTCGCCGCACTTGACCACAAGTGAGGTTGACTGATTGCATCCAGGGGGCATTGGTGAGAATCCTAGGCTAGACTGCTGCAAGGCCCAGGCGCTTCTCCAACTTCTTCATTTTCGCAGTCTCCCATAGGAAGGAGTCCCACGGGTTCTCTATGGAGACGCGGCGCCTCCCTTTGCTGCCTCCATGAGGATGATCTCCACTGCGGCCAGGTGCCTGTTACCTTCCTCTGCCACTGGCTGCCCCCAGCCCTCCGTTGCCACATGCCCATGTTGATCTGATCGTCTGGCCTTGGTGTAGCTCCGGCATGGTATGGCCACATGGACATGGTCTGCGTCCCTGCCCAAATTCCTGGCTTCTTCCAAGCCCTCCGGGGTGAGGACATCCCACCCATCGTAGAGCTCCAGCGGTTTCATGGCTTCCACCTGGCTTCCATTGACCTCCATCATAGCCATGGTGAGGCCCTTGAACCCGGCGTACAGCTCCAAGAACTTCAACTTGGCCTTGGTGGGCTGTTCCGCCTGCTGCTTGGAATCTTGTGCCTGCTCCTGCGGGTGACTTGCAGGCTGTCGTACTGGGTCTCTTGCTGATGGGATGTTCTCCCATTCCCCTGCCAGACTCATGGATGTCTCCACAACAAGGTTAATCGTTGCTTTCCTGAGGTCACTTCTGCGACTTCTTCTTGCCAGCTCCCTTTGGGCTCTTTTTGACATGCGCCGGACACATGTCGTTGACGTGAGAGCCGAGACAGTGCTGGCATCGATGCACCCGTCCCTGAGTGCAGGGTTCTGCACAATCGCCTGCTTTGCCAAAGCAAATCTCGTTGCCGTCGTAGTCCGTGATGTAGTGAGTCCCCCACTTCTTCGGATGTTCGCTCTTCGGCTGGGGCGGACCGAAGACCGAACCGTGTTCGGTCCGTCGGTCGGCAGGAAGAGCGAATTCCACCCATCGGAACGCCATGGGCACAAGACACCGCCCATGATGGGTCCAAAACACCGTGGATTTCTGCGATGCGATGCGGATGGATCCGTCATGGGTCGGTCATGGATCCGTCGTACACGCTGACATCCAACTGCCCGAGGACACTCATTCAGATCATTCAGGACCTTTGTCGACTCTAGTCCAGGAGCTACTAGTAGCGTCCTTGCTCCTAGTAGTCAGTCCAGGAGCTACTAGTAGCTTCTTGTTCCCAGTAGTATGGCCAGGAGCTACTAGTAGCGTCCTTGCTCCTAGTGGGTTTGACTCCTTGGCCGGAGGGCTCTCTTTGCCTTTGGAATCTCTTCTGCGCCTCAGCGAGTGCTGCTCTTGCGTCTTCGGAGACGTTGACGTCCTCTGCACTCCTGTTCGACATGTTTCGTCCTCCTCGAGCAAGAAAGGTGTGGGCGGGCCTGACCACATGGCGGCCCCAGTATTCCATATCTCGAGCCGCGTAGGCAAAGACGCCCACCCATGGCTGGGAGGCATCGAAATCTAGCCCCATCGGAGGCCGCCTTTGAGAGCTGGCGGCGATAGCGCTCGAAGACTTCTCCTCCACAGCGGTCCTCGGCCTGCATGATGAGGCGCCAGGCCTCCGGGAATTCCTCGTTGAGCTTCGCGATGTGGTCGAAGTATTCCTCCATCACCGCTGCTGCGACCACCATCTTCTCCGGCTGACCCCCTGAACCTGGATGTCGGATCATGTACAAGGCGGCCTTGAACACTCTCCAGCACGCCGTCCAAGCCTGGAAGGACGACGGTCCTGGGATCTCTGTGGCTTTGAAGCTTCCGTCCGGCTGGAAGACATAGGATCGAGTGCGCATCTGTCGTTGGACCCGTCTCCCGTATACGGGGTGAAGATCGAGAAGTCTGCGTATGGAGCTTCTCCCCTCTTCACGATCTTGTCCGTGAGAGCTGCAAGTTGTTCTGCTGTGGGCTCGGCCTCGTGAGTTGGCTCTGCACCTGTCACCTCGACGTGGTAGGCATAGGCTCTGTCGAGCTCGGATCTGGTCTTGACCCTCTTGTTTGCCTTGGTCGGGGAGGCTGGAGTGACCTCGGCAGGTGCAGCAGCTGTGTCTGTCAGAGGGTCGACATCGGCCAAGCCCACAGCTTTGCGACACGCCCTCCAGAAGAGCCCCAACATGAGCATTTCGGCGGCAGTGAGCGGTCTCGGATCTGGAGCTCCTGGCACCGGAATTCGTGTGGCGCCCATTGCATGCTTCAGAACACTGGCCGGCAAACTTGCTAGATGCCGAACTTGTTCGATCTCTCCCAAGGTGTGGTTCACACAGTCCCAACCCTCGGCTTTCAGCGAGCTCCACTGGCGAAATTCCGCCAAATGTAGACCAACCATTGATCTCGGCATCGGTGGGCAACAAGTTCATCAACCAGTCCTAGTCCTTCAAAGCTGCGAAAGCAGAAGGGGCCAGCACAGGACCCAAAGAAGGGCTGCCCAGTGTAGATGTCCGATCCGCGACCACAGACCGCGGCAAAGTGAGCAGCCAAGTGAAGAAAGAGCCAACCAAGGCTCCCACACAAAAGGAAGCCAAAAGGAGGCACTCCAGAAAATTCTTTGCTCCACAAATATATAAATGGATGAAACAGCAAGTTATGATATAGATATATACATATATTTCAAACGGATGGCAGGCAGGGTAGGTGTGCATTGAGTCCAAATCATGGTGCAACTCATTCTGTTGGGGTACACTTGCACAGCTCGTCCTCACCAGCACTCAGAATAAAAACACAACCAACAGTCAAACAGGTCAGGCACTGAGACAGTAGATTCCACTGTACTATATGAAATGAAGTATGAACTGGCAAAATGAAAGAACTTGAGTCAAGCTTGCAGGTGAAATGACATGAATATGACGGATGCAACCAATTGACCAAGAGCATCGAGATCCAGGAAGAGCATGACCATGTTCTTGAAGTCCAGATAGCTCTGTGTATGCAAATCTCCTGCAGCAAACAAAGCTTCAGAGACCTCTTTGCTGAGACCGGCGGCCATGGCCCATTTACAGAATTGTTTCTTGTTGAGGTGCCCATTGCCTCCCTCGTCCATGCGCCGGAAAAGCAGCCTGGCACCCAGGAGCTGATTGGACTGTAATCCCGAGCCAAGAAGGCTCAAGAGCATGCGATATGTCCAGCTGAGAGCTGCTCTCTTCTCGAGACGTTTGGCAAAAAAACGGTGTTGTGGCACCCACAAACCCCACCCATTGTTGGCATTTGCTTTCAGCATAGCATCATAGGCACTCTTACAAGGCCAAAAAGCATCCTGGAGCCAAGACGTGCGAAGCACTTCAACCGCCTCCGGCCTGTCTTGAGCATGGCGAGCCATCATTTGAAGCACCACTTCTTGCACTTCAGGCTTGCAGGCGCAGCGTAAGCGCTCCAAATCTCGCCAATCAAGGCCTTTGTCGGACAGGATGCGCTCATGAACCTCTCCACGACTTAGTTGCTGATAGCACATAGACAAAGACGCAGATTTAAGGTTGAAAAAGGGCAACCAACCTCCTGTGAGCAGCTCAAAGGCGGTGACTCCAAGCATGTACACATCGCTTCTGGTGCAAAGGTTTTCCTTTGCAATGACTTCTGGAGCAATGTATCTCGGATCTCCAGGAGCGGCAACCAGTTCGGATCCCAGGCAAACGGTTGCATGTCCAAAGTCACATACAATGCACAGCGGTGAGCCATCTGGACGTGTTCCACCAATCAACACGTTCTCCGGCTTTAAGTCACCATGCAAAACGAATTGCCGATGGCAATAGGCTACAGCACTCAGAATCTGCTGCATAGCTCCTGTCACGACAGACAAAGGAGGCTACACACACTCTTTTTTGCGTTTGGAACAGTCACTTGCATTCTTTGCCCATTGGGTTCTTTCATCACCAAAACTTTAGGCAACACATCCTATTCTTCAACAAGAGCCATCAACTGCAAAGCCCAAAGGAGTTTGCCATCAATAGGTTCGGCTCTACCTCATGTTAATATTGACGCTGCGCCAAGAACGGACCCAACAAACCACCGGTATTATCATTGACTTTGACATTTCACTCTTTGAAGGTCCGGTATTATCTTGGTCCATCCACCTGCCCACCCCAATAAAACGGACAACATGCCTGGCTCGACCTCTTTGCAACTGTTATTCTAATAGACTCGACAAACACTCGCAGCGTGTCTGAAGCCAAGTGTGCTGAGGTAGTCTTGAGGAATGTCTTGTACGGGGGATTCAATTGTATGATGTCGAGTTTACTGGAGCATCCACGACGCCTGCTGAAAATATCCGAGACCTGCGTATTGGCTCACAAATTCGAGCACGTCACGTCGTTTTCAAGCACACCCAGGCTTTCAAGAGGTCGCGTCAGTCACAAGTCCTGATGCCTCCTTTTCGTTTGCTTAACAACTAAGGCTCCGTGAACCACGATTAGGATGGCCTCTGTGAAGCTTTGTGCACTCGAAACTTTCATCTATGCACGATTCTTGTGGAGCTTCGTTTGCTCTCTTCATGTTTTGCATGTTTGTGCTTGTCCTGGACTGTGCTCAGGGCAGTGTGTGGTGTGCGAACCCACTTGGCAAGCGAATGCGGAGCGAACGTGGTGCGGCCAAGTTGTGCTCAAGCGCTGGACCAAAAGAGCGATCCAGAATCGCCCTGTGAACCGCGGCAGTGTCGTGCCACGTCATTTTGTTCTTACTGCCTCATACTCAACAACCAGTCCTTGGTGCACTGCTGAAGCTGCAGTGCCTGCTGGGAAGAGGATGAAAAGGTGGACCAGCCAAGAAAAAAGTCGAATTCAAAATCTCAGGAAAAGCATGGTGCAAACGAGCCCAGAGAGAAGGACAAGGAGAAGGAGGCAGCTCTCTATCCCTGTGTCAGAAGACCAGCAACAAAGCTATGAGATTGAAGCTGCCCTGGAATGGTACCCAACCCGTCCGAAGAACTGCAGAGAGAGAGAGAGAGATCCAACAGGCAATCCAACCAGAGCTCAACGATGAAGGGCTTGTCCCAGAACCAGATGGCAACGAGCATATTGCCAGGTAGCTGTTCTCGAACATGAGATCAGGATTGACAAGGATGGAGCGAACCAAACTCCAGCTGCATCAGCGATGCTAAATCTCAGTGCCCAAAAAATGGGCCCAAGCAAAACAAAGGCAAAGTATCCAAGTCAGATTGAGAGATGCTGGATCCAGTTGGTTCATCAATACCAACTACAGTATGCGGCTTTCATTGCTGCATGCAAGAGCTTTCCAGCCTCGTGGCCCATCTCGAGCAAATACTTTTGTGGTGCACTAGCACTCGGTTCAGATGCTCTCTGCTAGTTCAGTGGGAGGAAAGCAAGGCACCTTTGCAAAAGGCTGCAATGAAAACGAGGCTTCGACGTTACGGAACGCCTTTTCCCCTTGAGCCAAAATACGTCAAGAGTCACGTGTCTGCAGTACCTATAGCGGAGTATATATGGGCTGTACATACAAACACTCCTCCTCTTGCAAAGCACTGTACTGCTGCGCAAGCATAAAAGTAAACATGTGAAACTCTCGCTGCTTAGCCACTTTCAGTTGTGGTAGTGGAGCTTGGCCAGGGACCTTACTCCAAAACATCTAACTGTCCTTTGCTTCGCTTGCTGAGGAATGCATATTGCAGGTCCTCCATGGTTTTGCGAAGCTGCACTCCAGGAACCGACTTGGTCAAAACATCGGCTTTGTTCTTGACTCCTGGAACGTGGTGCACCTTCAAGTGGCCCTCGGCGACCCTTTCTTGCAACCATAGGTAGCGAGTCTGGATGTGTCTGGCTTTACCCAAACCCACTCTATTCACAGTTCCTTTGGCTGCATTGGAATCGCCTTCGATGGTGACTCCTAATTCCAAACCAAGGTCTGCGCATAGGCTTTGGAGGCCTAAGCCCACAGATCCTCCCTTCACAAGTGCGTAGTATTCACTCTCACCTGTTGAAAGGGCTACAGTGGATTGGATGTTACTACTGTGTTTTAACACGTGCATGCCGTACATAGCAACCATGCCAGTTGTGCTTTTGCGTGTCACAGCGTCACCACCATGGTCGGCATCAACCTGCACCCTCAACCTTGAAGGTGTCTGTTGCGATCCAAAACATTGCCCAACATCAGGGTATTTCTTCAAGTACCTGATGAGACGCTTCAAGTCAGCAAGTTTGGCTTCTGTTGGTGATACCATACCTCGAGCAAGGTTCTTGACTGCGTGCCCAATATCAAGTCGATCTTGGGACAAGTACGCAGCACGCATCGTTGCTGAACGATACTTCGATGCCTCGCTCTTATCAAGCAGCGGACTGCGGCTTTCCAGCATCTGCTGGTCTGCCGACTTCTTGACATCTGGTGATTCTACACCATTTGCCTTTTCCAGACCAAATGCCTGGATCAAAAGATCAACATGTCTCCGATCGGCTTCGATCACAATCGATCCTTTGCCATTCTTCTTATCGACTCGGATTAACCGATTCAGAAAATGAGCTTCTGTTCGGTCTCCATCCTCGTCTCCAAGAATTCCGAGACATTTCAGCTCATAGGCATCTTTGAGGACTTGGCTGAGCTTCTCCAAGTGTTGGGCGTCTCCAAGTGCTAGGAAGTCATCTCCATGCACCATCACTCTGACGTCCCAAGCTTCTTGGTAGAAGACTGACGCATTTGACAAGCCTCTGCGGAAACCAGCATTCTGCAGAGTCTCTGTGTAGTGCGTCTGCCAGATATTTGGAGCATCCTGTGTTCCATACATTGACTTCACGAGAAGTCCACAGGTTTGTCCATCTTTGCTGGCTTCGTCCTCAGGTGGCAGCTCTATGTAGATCTTTCTCTTTGGAGTTCCATAAAAGTGTGCTCGTGAGATGTCCCACAAGCCCAGCTTCAGCGGCTGGTTGTGGCAGGACTTTCTCTTTGTTGCCCACAACGAGCACAGCAGTCTCATCGCCTCCAATGGGGGCGTGCTGCTGAAAAGCAAGTTGGCTGGCAATTGTTCTTCTTTGGTCTTTCTTGCCTTTATCTCACGCACAACTAATCGGCTCCTATAGTTCGGGTTTGTTGGATCTCCGTTGTTGGTGTCCAACCATCTGACTGGAATCGGGGGCTTCCCCGTTTCCTCAAAACATTCGGCTCTCGGCCGGGTCACATAAACACCATGCTTTTCTTTCAAATAATTCATTTCAAGGCGTCTTGCCTCTTTCACTTTCTCGGCTGGCAAAATGCCGCCGTTCACATCATCCATGTAAATCTCTTCGAACTCAGGTTCCATCAGAGGCATCTCTGGAACTGGGCCTGCTGCAAACAAATCAAAGGTGTTCAACTCACCTTTCTCAGCTAGTGTGTCACGCAGGCTCCTCAGCACTGCCTTCACGAGCGGCGGTGGGTATACCGCTGCTTGCCTTGCAATGCCTCCGATCAGATGGATGTGTCGGTGCCATGGTCCTTTGCCCGACTCATTCGAGCAGACTCCTTGCAAGACTCTGGCTAACCCTTCGTCGTTGGTCATCCAACCGGTCTCCTTTCTCACATAGCCAGTGCCTTGGAGTCCTCTTCGGTCGGTGGCCATCATTTGCCACCTGCACATTGGACCCTTCACTATGAACACTCCATCTTCCTCTGCTAAGGCCGCGACTTTCTCATCCTTCCAACTGGTCGCGGACCAAGGTGCCTCGTGGAGGAATTTTCTCCCTGAGCGATGCTGCTTGACATACAGCTCTACGCTCGTATGAAGATGGTGGACGGCTTCGTCCATTTTCCTCCTCCGGACATCCGGTGCCATGCTTCTCCAGTTGAGGTTCTGGAGCTGCGAGAACATATGGCACGGTGGCGAACCAGTCAAAAGTGCCGGTTCGTCCTTCTCAAGGATATCGTGCGCCTCTTGAACATCTTCAGGCTTATTCAAGTCCCAGTATGTTCCATCACTTTTCATTTCATTTAAGTCGACCGCAAAACCCGGTCGCAACTTGTAGCGCTCTGCAAGTGCAGTGAACCTCTTGGGCGAGTAGATCTCCATGATATCTACTGCTGACATCTGCATGCTCAAATGAGCGATGTCTCCGACCTCTTGCTCAGAGATCTCAATGCCATTCGCCTCATAGGTTCCTTGAATGATCTTCTTCAGATGCTGCTTTGCGATCTCCTTCTCTTTTACCAAGCTGGCTGCATCTGGCCTCCACCCTGCTGGTGGTGTTTCTGGAACATGTGAAAACTGAGACGTTTTCTTTGGACTCTCTTCCACTCTGGGATCAAGGTCTTCTACGGCGGTCTCTGCGGACCTCTTTGTTCCTTGAACTGGATTCGGCTTGACCTTTGCCCCAGGTGGATCTATCCGAAGTTCTCCTGTTCTCTTCTTGGGCTCTATTGCTACCTTGGCTTTCGCCACTGGCTTCTTCTCTATTTCGGCTGCTTGCCTCTTCATCTCATATCTCTCTTTCGGGTCATCGGGATAGGTTTTCTCACCCTCTGCTGCTGCTGGCGGTGAGCTTCCCGACCCTGCGCTCTTTGCATCTTCCTTCTTCTCTGGTTCCCCAGCCGCGTCTTCGGCTGGGATGTCGGAGTCCTTGTCGGCCACGACTTTCGGCTTCACAGTGTCAAGCTGTTGCCGTTCTTTCCTCTTCTTTGCATGGGCTTCAAGTCTCGCTTGCCCTGCTTCGTCCTTTTCCATTGCTTCGGTGATCCTTGCTCTGCACGCCTCTGTGTGCGGCAAGGTCGTCCTTTTGTCTTCCAAGATGCACTTGCATCCTGGGCAGCCTTCTGTGGCTCCATGCTTGTGCACATCCTCTCTCCTGATGTACACTCGCCTCTGTTGT